AAATGAACGAAGAGCAGGTCCTAAATTAGATGCCAGTCTAGCATAGGTGGGAGAGTTTAAAACTTTAATAACGACCCCATTTCCTTGTATACTGGCGGAATCATATTTGAGATACCCTGTCCAGTGTTGCTGTTAAAAAAACATTTATAAACCACTACACACGCGTTAACCCAGGCTACCGGCGCATTAAAGGTAAGAACGCGGTTGTATTCGGTGCCGCTTGACCCGCGTTGCCATCCTAGCTTCGATCTAGAGAGGGCTGATCCATATTAAGGTGCAAGCACCTTAGATAAAGTAATGGTATGCAGGTGCAGGCTGATCATGTAAGGTTTTGTGCCAAATGGCAGTAGGGTGTTAAAGCTATTCACCTTGAGTCACAATTCGTCCCAAATATCTTCCCAAATAGAATAGAATAAAAAAAGAAAATCATTGAAAATAAATATTTTACCACCATTATTCAAAACAAAAATTGTTTATCTCAGTGACAGTGTTGGAGACATAACACGGATGTTCCGCCATCAACTGTTAAACAAATTATTCAACAAAAACGCTATTCATCTTGAATAATTAAATAACACGTGTCACGTCACGTGTTCATCACATGATCTATATACTTTCGTTGTAACTATGGTCGACATATCTCAATTTCAATAATAGCTTTACTAGGAGAGGGGACTTCTCTAGAGGCATGGGCGAAGATCCCGGTGGGGACACCGGGACGCGTCCCCACCAATTTTTAGTGGTGGGGACATGATATACTGTGTCCCCACCACTTATTTCCGATGTTTTTTTTACTGTTTATTTTTTTAAATTGAAATCATTCCAGAGCTTTTATTGACATTTCAGAAAGTGTAGAGTTGGCCCCAGGCACTTGAGGCCAGGGTCCTTGAAGTTGTACAGCTGAACCCGGTGACCGATTTTTATTTAACAGGGAATAAGTGATAATTCATATTATAACAGTAAATTCATATTATAACAGTAAATAATTGAAATATTCCATGGAGGTGTGCATATCTGATACGCTGGGTAACTGAGATTTTTTTTTATCTGGTATACTGGATGATAAATCACCTAACTAAAGGATTTAGTTTGTATATCAGGGGAACCCTTCAGTGCTAGATTTGCTGCCATACTAAATAAACGTATTTGTAAAGACTGGTTTCCATCTATCTCTGTGGAATATAGGCAATTAAATCTAAAATTTAAGACTCGAGCCCTCTATTTGTTGGAGTACAGTAAGCTGAGCCAAGAATCGTGTACTTATTATTACATTTTGCTGTTTTGAAGATGGTTTAGAAATTTAGGAAATACATATATCGGAAAGGCATTTTTTAAAACCTGTCATGGGCCGTCCAGAAAGAAGACAAAGGGAAAATAAACGGGCAGAGTGGATAAAGGTGTACTGTTCTTTAGCATTAAATATATTAAACACTTTATTGGAATTTTTTTTCGATTAAAAAATTGCTCTCTGAACTATTTTGTTATTGGTAAAAACGCCTCAGAATAGCTGAGAATGCATATATAGATACCATTTTGTAACAAAAATTTAAAAAAATGTAAAAGCCCCCCTCCCCAACCCCTAGCAGCTCACGCCAGTGGCGTTCGGTTATATTTTGTATCATTTGATGCCAGAAAATGATGCTGAAAATACCCACTGAGTGCGTTTGAGAGCGTCTAGTTTTCAAAAAATTTCGGGGGAGGACCCCCCACCCCCCTCTTTACCATTAGTCGCCCGCACATGGACTGTCCCCACCAATAATTTTTGGCGATCTGCGCTCCTGTCTAGAGGACTGTAATAATGCTACGCATGTGTATATGGTATTACACAATGCAATATGTCCTAACTGTAGATGTTTATATGGTAATCCCCAATGAAATACACCCCAATTGTACATGTTTATATGGTATTATCCAATGAAATACACCTTAAATGTATATGTTTATATGATATTACACAGTCATAAATACGTGAATTGTTTGTACTAATAAGTTGATTATTTATATTGTAACTATAAACTACAGATCAATTGCCGATATGTATTGCGTCAAAGAGGGTCATGTTGGCTCCGTGAGTAAACGGTGGATCGCTAACCTGGTGATCCGTGTGTCGACAGGAAGTGTTCGGCTTTTCCGGCGTGGTCTCCCCTTATCAGAGGTAGAAGACGGGGGGTGGGGGTGGAAAGAGACAACGTATAGTCTTTCGGATCGTACGAAAAACCGAAGTACCGTGAGGACATTGACGTGCACGTAAAATAACACGTGGCAGTTAGAATTCGGTATAAGAGTGGGCGATTGGGCACAATTTCCCCCATAGCACAAGGTATGGCATATGCCCGTATTAATTATCCCAGTCGGGGCAGAACAGTTGGACTTTAACCTCCATTTCATCTCGGAAACCACATAAGGAATCAGTAATACGGGTTTAAAGGCTAAGACGGGCGACGAGATGAATTCATTATGAAATTACAATTACTGACTAAAGATAAACACGAGAAAAAATGGGGGAGGGGTTACTGAATAGTTTAACGCATGTGCGTTAGATCATACGGTCTGTCATTGAGTCAAGTGACGTGGTGTCCATTCCCTGGTTGTACGTGACAAGCAGTATGGTCGCTTGTCCAACCTCTTGGGTTTTCTCCGGGCCTCCGGTTTCCTCCCACTGCCGAAGACCCTACACGCGCAAGCGAATTATTGAAATAAACTTGAACCATTTGTTAATCCCGAAATGACCCAGTTGGTGTCGAGTCGATGTTAAACCCATTTCCGCCACCTCTCTGTCTCTCTGTCAATAAACTTCTTTAAGTGACTGAAACAGTTATTATTGAATTAGTGTAAAGAACCCCACCCACCCACACACACACACCAATCAAATATTTTCTATAAGTAAACATATGAATTTTATTTTTGGTGAAATATGTCCTAACTGTAGATGTTTATATGGTTATCCCCAGTGAAATAACCAAAAAATCCCCCCCCCCAATCAAATATATTCTATAAATAAAAAAATCCATTTTATTTTTGGTTAAATAGACACATTAAAATTTTATATGAAATATGTACTCTAAACCGCAATCTAAGAAAAGACATGAAATACTGGTCAGATTTGTTGTACAAAAACTGAAATCAAAAATACTTTTAAAAGACGGATCTGACAGAAATGCTTTGTGTGAGGCCTTCCGGTGATCAAAACACAATACAGTTACTTAATTACATAATATTAATAAGTAATTAATACCGGCCTTTAGACATTAAATAAACTTTAGCGTATTGAGATCAGTCGTGGTTTAAAGATTATGAAGTTTGAACAAAATGACGTAATAACATATCATATTTTTTTACGGTGTTTTCACACAAACTAAAGACAACACAAGGGTTATTCTAATATTTGAACCAAGAACGCATCTTTAAGCATCTGTTTCAGGGAGCCACGGTGGATAAGTGAGTAAGACGCTGGCTCGCTAGCCTGGAGGTCGATATAAGAGTAGAGCACAGTGCCTCTACCCGGGCAAAATGTCCCCTTATAGCACACTGTAAGGCGTATGTCCGTCTACATTAGCCCAGTAGGAGCAGAACAGTAGGACTTTAAACCCCATTTCATTTCATTTAAACACCCTTTTCAATAAATAATTTAATTGTTAAAAACTTAATGAAATAATTCAAACGATGCTAACTTTCTTGTACATAATGTCCCTACTTGACTGTGAACATTTGTTCTTCTTAGAACAATTACACCCAAATATGTTAATTAGTAAACTTTCATATTTGAACGATTCTTCCAGTTAGGAAAATAATTTTCCACATTTTTACAAAGTTGAACAATTACAACCAAATAAGTTATTTAGTAAAATAATTTTCCATATTTTTACAAAGTTGGACAAACATTTTGACAATTATTTTGGTTTGCTGCGACAGAATATCTGAGACGAGCATATTGTTCTCTATGGGTTGTCTTTCCCTGTTAAGTTCAATGCATCCACCATATAATTTATCAGCCTTTGACTAATTCAGTGCTAATCTTTTCTTAAATAATTTCCTATCTTACTAATTCTTGACGTAGATATATTTAACTATGAGAAATGGCAATCAGGGCGACATTGCTTATAAATAACCAACTCTATTACATATATGATAGGCAATCACGACGACATAACTCATAAATAACCCAACAAGTGTTATTTCATGGTGCATATTTTCCAAGTCTTATTGCCGTGCAATTAATCATTGTCATATTTAAAATCGATATTATTCTTAGCTCATCCGACCAAGAGGGTAATGCTGCCCCCCTAGCCCTGATACCTTTTTAAATACATTACTCTATGCCTGCAATCCAATGCACTGTAGGTAGATGAATTAGATCACATGTCTGCAATTTGCTTCCCAGAGTTCTTGAAATAAATCTATTAATACATGACAATGGAGTATTGTTTAAATATGAAAAATGTGTGAAACATTCGGCCGACGGTAACTAGTGCATTGTGGTAGTGGTCCAATGATAAAAGAAATGAAATGATGTTTAAAGCTATACCTTTCTGCACCATAGTCGACCCCCCATGTCGGGGAGCTTTAACGTGCTGGCAATGTAACATATGGGGCCTTGAACATAAGGGGACTTGACTATCCGTTCATGTTACGTTATTAACTATTATTGTTGATGGATACAGTATCAGTTTGTTCGTGGTCTGTTCTCTACCAATCGCATCCTGAACAAATGTCTGATCCGTGTAAAGAACAGCGTGACTTCCAGATTATGGATGACTTAGTTCATGCATATCAGAATATTTATCAACTATAACCACATTTTGCAACACGCGTAGTTGTCACAGAAATAAACAAGTTAAGGTATCATTTTGCAACACGTGTGGTTGTCACGGAAATAAACAAGTTAAGGTATCATTTTGCAACACGTGTAGTCGATTTTAGTGTAAAATTCATTTATTGAACAGCGGACGTCATAGCTATAAACAAGTTAAAGGTATATTTAACAGTTTCAAAAATCTGAACCAGGTAACAACAAAGAACAATCGTTATAATTTATCTGGCAACAAATATAGGAAGAGTACCTTTAATGCAAAATATTTTTGTATATAATACAACCCTGGAAATCAGTTTTCAGCTTTTGACAAGAAGTTTTCAAAATGGTAAGTTTGTTCCAAAGCCATGCTATATTTCATCGCATGGTGGCTGTCATCACTGTAAATATTGGTATAAAGATATATTATTATTGTGGTGGTCCCTATAGTTATTATAAAGATTTATTTCTGTGAATACTGTTTGACTCTATCATGTGTATTTGATACGGCAATATCACAGATTCTGGTAGGTAATATTTATTTCTGAGTAATTCACTATTATATTATATCAATTGTTGTAGAGTGTGTCTATTGTTTTTCTTGTACAGTGCCTTTGTGTTGTATGTTACCGTTTTAGTATAGTACCTGTTGTTGTATAGTGGTGTTATTATACCTTGTATTGTGCATGCAGTTTCAGGTCACGTGTAATATTATAGTGGTGTTATTTTACCTTGTATTGTACAGTTTCAGGTTACTAGTATTATAGTGGTGTTATTTTACCTTATATTATACATGCAGTTTCAGGTCACGTGTAATATTGTAGTGGTGTTATTTATCATACCTGGGTGGATATCAGTTTTAGATGGAGTTGAAGTTCAACTAGCGAGTAAGTGAAAACTTAAAACTATTATGTAAATGATAATATTATGTAAAATTGTTTTTCTTAGGATGTATGTATTATGTATCGTTTATATTCCCGTATCGTGTAATAAAGCGGGTTTACACGTAGTTCCATGTAATAAATATTGTTTATATTTTAGTTCCATGTAATAAATAGCGGTTGTCCAGTGGTTTGGATTGTTCGTACTTGGTTTTATTTTATTAGTAACATGTAATAAAGTCTGTGTACATATTTCAGTACCATGCAATAAAACGTGTTTACACGGCGGTCGGTGTGATATAACTCCAGATCCAACGTGTTCAGGTTCGGGTTATAAACAAATATGTAACTGTCCATCATCTTACACAGGAGAATTCTGTGAGAATGTCCTCATCAAAGGTGAGTTGAATTACATTTGACCACGCGTTACTGCACTGTTGGTTGTCTTGTGCATACACTCCAGAGACAATCTGGAATTTAGAATGGGTTGAAGGTGACGATTCTAACGCAAATCACAAGATGTGTCAGCGACGCATAGACTTGGGTCGACTTTGTAACCGCGCTTTTTCGTTGTGTTCTTTCCTTCAGGATTCCCTGTTAGTATGACTGCCACTGCTAAAGAATCCACCCCGTCAACGAAGTAATATAGTAATACACTATATCTTTTATTAATTACAGTGGAATGTGATAAACTTTGTCAGAATGGCGGTCGATGTGTGGTTAATTTTAAATATGACGGATGTACAACTGCTTACTCATCTTGCGTGTGCCCCAAATACTATTATGGAGATTTGTGCGACATTTTTAGAACTGATCGTAAGTATATGATGGGAATCTTAACAATTTACTAATTGACGGCCAAATGCAGCACTATACATTAAACATACACGCTGTGTTACCACCAATCTTCCCAATACAGGCCTATATATGTATATAAAACACCATCGAGATTCTTCAAACCCTGTATCTAGTAGTAATCTGGTCAATGTTGGTATCAGTCGCTCTAGTCAGTTATCTTGTGAACAGATCAGGGGGAGGAACTAAAATGTCCCCTTGAATACAATTGCTGATTGGAGATGTGCTAATGTTTGATATAGTTTAAATTGTTTTAAAAGAAACTGACATTCAATTGTCACCTTTTTACAGCTATATGTGATCCTCCATGCACAGCAGGTCAGGGCGAATGTGTTGTCCTACGAAATTCACAGTTAGCACCTCACTTGACTGATCGAGCCTACTGTAACTGTTCAATGTCGGCTACCGGATATTACTATGGAAACCAATGTCAACATTATCAAGAAAAAGGTAAGTGTTTCCATATTAAACGCGCCAAAGTTTCAGGTGCTTGAGCTGACTGAATGTTTTTGTCTCGTGGATATGATCAAATTCGTCTGAACCTTCCGATTTCATTTATAATTCCTTTTCTGATTATTAGTATTGGTTATCTACGAGTATCGCCAATAATTATATTTTTTTAAAAAACAATATTTTATTCACGGGTTACCGAAACAAGCCAAAGGCTTATACAGGGTGACACAAAAAAAAACGTTCATCAATAAAAATCGAATAACTTCCAAAATTTTATTTAGATTAACAGAAATATTCAGCTACATTAGGTTAAGTCTATGTATCAGACATCTCCAAAGTTGTATAAATCGGCTTCCCAAAAGCAAGATACATACATGATATAAACATATATTATAATTATCAATATACATGTATATGGAGTATTAAAGTACATATATAATAAGATTACAGGAAGAATATAATCAACATACATGATATAAACATATATTATAATTATCAATATACATGTATATGGAGTATTGAAGTACATATATAATAAGATTACAGGAAGAATATAATCAACATACATGATATAAACATATATTATAATTATCAATATACATGTATATGGAGTATTAAAGTACATATATAATAAGGTTACAGCAAGAATATAAACAAGTTTTAGCTAGCATCAGGTCCAAGAAGGGGTCGATATTTCGCCTGGGGTCAAGATCAAAGTTTTGCTTCATTGTTCAGTAAAATCTGGCCAATTACACACGATTCAAATTAATTTTTTGGACGTATTAAAATTCTCGATTCTTGTGTGTCCTAAGAATATCTACCATCATTATAATAATGGGGTATTAGGTTAAAATACCATCTAGACTAAACAGTAGATAATTCTTATCGTGGAGGAAACCTATAACCCAGTGATCCAACTTCATTTCTTCTCTCATATATGTTTAAAATGTAATTATTGTATTTATTACAACAGGATTGTGTAACCCGCCATGTCGCAATGGAGGGGAATGTAATTACAGGGGTATGTGTATTTGTCCACAAGACCCAAAAGGATATTCAAGGGATTGCAGGGAATTTGACCCAGGTTCGTATACTATAATGTCATGTTCACAATATGTGCTGGTCCCCAATGGTCACCAGGGAAACATAGTTATTGAATATTATTAGTAAATGCAGGAGGACCGCACCACACATAACCAATTACCTTCGCATCTTTAGGATTAACCTCTGCTTGTGCATAGATTTATGGTTTCTGAAACAGAAATTATGTTGTGTTAGTATTTAAACTATATCCATTACATCCCTGAAGTTGGATGTTTCATTTATCGCTTGCTTCATTCTACAAATTTCGATCGAAATGATTTTCTAAACGTTTGTTAGGTATGAGACATCTGAAATTGGAAATGGTATACGATGTACTGACAGCATTGTTGTCAACCTTTACCTGTAAATTTATTGTGATGTGTTTGTTTTATAGTATGTAATCCTGCCTGTCAGAATGGTGGAACATGTTATTACGGTTCTTGTGGATGTACAAGTACAGATCAAGGGTATTATAACGGCTCCGCATGTGAACAGTTTCAAAGCAACAGTAAGTATATTTTTTATACAACTACATATTCGTGTCATCAAAAATCTTCAAATTTATTGGAATTCGAAAAATAAATTTCAATTTTGAAGGATGTGAAGCATTGTTGTCGTTCCTGTAGAAGTTTACAGTGATAGTTTTTTTATACAGTATGTAATCCTGCCTGTCAGAATGGTGGAACGTGTAACAGAGGTTCTTGTCAATGTACACCTACAGATCAAGGGTATTATTACGGCTCTGCATGTGAACATGTTGACTGTAAGTACTAATTTAAATGTATTTATTTGTATTTATACAGACACTACCCTAGTAATCTGTTATGGTAAATAATATACCACTAACTATCCTAGTAATCTGTTATGGTAAATAACATACCACTAACTATCCCAGTAATCTGTTATGGTAAATAATACACCACTAACTATCCTAGTAATCTGTTATGGTATAATAATATACCACTGTCTATCATAGTAATCTGTTATGGTAAATAATATACCATTGACTACCCTAGTAGTAATCTGTTATGGTAAATAATATACCACTGATTATCCTACTAATCTGTTATGGTAAGATCCACTAATCACCCACCCCCCCTCGCTCCCCCCGAGCACAAACCAACACCAATAATAGATCACTTACTATCCTAGTAATCAGGTTTGATACATGTAATATATAATATCTGTATCCAGTATCTACAATATAAAACCTCTATTTACCCATGTTATTATTTAGAAATCCTATAACCATTAGAATAAAAATAAGTATGGCCGACATATTATTGTCAGATTCAAAACCTCCATCCCCCAACTTTGCACCTTTCCCTATGTTTTTCTGGTCCCCTCGCGGGTGCAGTCTTAACAGTAAAGTAACAATAAAAGTTTAATATATTTTATTTTTACATAGTATGTAAACCTGCCTGTCAGAATGGTGGAAAATGTTATAGAGGTTACTGTCAATGTACAATTACAGCTCAGGGGTATTATTACGGCTCTGCATGTGAAAAGTTTAAAATCTTACTAAGTATGTTGTTATCTCTATTAAAATTTGATGTATATAACCACATATTCATGCCATCGACAGTAAAACTTGTTGCAAATTCCTGAAGCAATGGCCGTCTTCATTAGCCCAGTCGGAGCAGAACAGAGCACCATTTATTTCTGAAGCAATGGTACGAGAAATCACTCTCTAGCCATTGCATTCGACTGGTTGTTAATCTGACCATCAACCAATCATAATCTGCGACAGGAATCATCAGTCAATCCAGCAGTGTTTGAGTAGGATTAGGTCTAATAAAACGAAACATTGTGACGAGTGTGAACTTGCTGTGATTAAACATCATAACCCGCGGACGTCGACACAGCTAGTGGGTGTGTCTTCTGTAGACTGGAAATAAAATCACAACTTCCACAACATTACGTGTGCCTCAAATCCCACTAAAAAAATTACGTCCTCACGTTATTCAAGCAAACGGACAGTGAACAGTCTGTCAGTTGGTGACCCTCTTACAGTTTTGTCCCATACGCGCCTAGTAGGTATTTTTCATGGACTCAAGTATTTTCTAGTAAGACTGGATGCCTCTAGTGTTCATACCAAATTTGACATACATGTTGGGATGTAACTGCCCTATAAATATTCTAAATGTATTTTAATAGCGGTTTAAACCTTAGACTTATTACTACCAGTACATATCTGTTGGTCCTCGCGACATTACTACATGGATCAACACACATACGCCAGGTATCGTTACCGTATATCTCCCACTTTATTCTACTTATTTAACTACAGTTTTCATTGCTTTAGTTACGGTTATATCGTGTGAAGTGCTAGTAAACACATTCTAATTTTAAAGACGCATTTGGCTAAATCTGCCTGATTCAGGTTTTTTGTCTGCCTTCAAATGTTATATGAAGTATTATTTAGCCATTTATTCAAATAACAGTCTCTCGGATCGCCGGGATATTAAATGGAAATTAAATGTTTCTCTTTCGGGATTCACTACATTATTGTGAGTGAGTCCGGATGTGTAATTTTGAGTCAAAATTAGTAGGTTTTTCATATTATTTGTGCATTTCAATTATAGGAGGATGTAGTCCCCCTTGTGAAAATGGCAGTGTGTGTCGAGATGGTACTTGTCAATGCAATGTAAATGGTTCGAATTGTTCTACCGTGGAAGGTATGTTATATTTTATATTATCTATGTTGATTCAGGTTAGTTGATGACGTCATAATATGGAAAGAGAACTGGGGTATAACGTCCACTCAACACAATTAAGTAATTTCGGACCATATATATATATGGTTAAATTTTTATTCAATAATTCGCTTGCGCGTAGTGGGAGGAAACCGGAGGACCCGGCGAAAACCTACGCGGTGGGATAGGCGACCCCACTCCTTATAACGTACACGCTGGGAATCGGAACCTCACCACTTGACTCATTGACAGACCTTGTGATCTGAAACGTAACCGCTATTCCCCCCCCCCCCGCACCCCAAAAGGGTGTATTAATAGCGTTTCGTGAAATAATCGTAAATTTGACTAGTCGGTCAGCTAAACAGAGTTTATCTATTAATGCTAGACTGTTCCCCAAGAATTTATATCATGTGGACCTATACAGGCGGCAGAACGGATTACTGCTTAGATTAAAGGAGTACAGAATCCAAAGCATAGTGTAACTCATGTTGTAATTACATTTTACCAGAATGCGTGGGTGGCTGTTTAAATGGAGGTACATGTGATTATAGAGGTAAATGTAAATGCCTAATGGAATACACAGGTGTCAACTGTGAAACATATACAGGTAAATTATCTATTTGGTCAAATCTAGTATTTAATTAGCTTTATTGCATCTGCTATATCAATATACAATACGCCGGGACAGCAGAAATTATAGAAAAAGTCAATGTACAATTAATAACATGATTTATTACAGTGTAAAACAACAATCACAAATATGGTAGCACATGGTTTATTACAGTGTAAAACAACAATCACAAACATGGTAACACATGGTTTATTACAATGTAAAACAACATCACACACATGGTAACACATGGTTTATTACATTGTAAAACAACAATCACAAACATGGTAACACACCAGAATCATACAAATAACATAAATAAATGGGCTTGCTATATTAACACATAGTAACACCTGAAAATTATGCAGATTGGTTTTTTACATGGTGGAGTAGCGATGGCTCACTGGATAAGACGCTGGCTCCGGACAGGATAGTGCTTCGTCGTTCGGATGGTACAAAAAACCGAGATTGCATGTACCATGGACAGTTAGAATTTGATATAAGAGTAGCGACGCTGTCTTGTCTAAATTACACACATAGGACATCGTATGGCCTGTCAGAGTGGAAAAGTGGGACGTTAAACTCCATTTTATTTCATTTTTGTATAGGGTGTCCATGTCTGAATAACGGACGGTGCTCTGATGACGTGTGTCAATGTACAATAAATGAAACAGGAGCATTCACCGGAGACCTTTGTACAGAGTTCACCTTTCTTTGTAAGTAACCTTATTCTATTAGTACGTGCAGGGGGACTGCACCACACATAATTTACACAAAAACAAGACAGATCCGGGGGCTAGCCGTAAGCTTCCACTGACCTGTACAGTCCCGGGCCTTTAGTGACACAGACTTCACTCAAATTTGAAAACAATCATGAATAAAACCCAGAGAAACCATTGTGTAATACCAGCATGAGTCACGATCTGCTATATGTTACAAGAAATATGAATGTAAGCATATTGTAGTAAAATTTAACTATACAAATTTGAAAATAATCTTGAATATAACCCAGAGAAAACCATCAGGATCTGCTATATGTTACAAGAAATATAAATGTAAACATATTGTAGTAAATTTTAACTATACAAGTAACCACATCTGTGAAATGTATAAAAAAAAAGGTAGTCTAAAACTAAATGCTCGATGTTTTAGTATTCATTGTAATATGCTTAAGGGTGAATCTTGCGTTTTGATTGGTCGATTAGACACCGTCTATTGGACAATAACACCCCTCTAAATTAGAAAAATCACGGCGTATTAATATTATGCGTACTACTTTAATGGAAATAACTACAATGGAGACACTCAATTTTGATCTCGGTACATTAGATGAAATATTTGGAGATATGTCCGAAGGTGAACTTGAAACGCCACCCCCTTGTCAGGTAATAGCTACAAACAACAAAATATTCAAAAATCTATTACAAAAACATAAATTTTATTTCAAAAAGTACTTTTTAAAAAATGAAGTGAGAATTTTAGGTTTTTTTTGTGTCTTGGGTCCTAATGATCTCAGGACATGTCTATTGGACAATAACACCCCTCTAAATGCGAAACAGGAGGTGTTTATCTCCTAAATAGAATCAGGCATATTGAATATACAGTTAGGGTACATCCACCCACCACAAAAACAGCGCAAAAAACAAACAAAACTGAATACAAAGAAGCAAATGAGAAAATGTAGACCGTCTCGATAGACAGCCGTCTGCTGACTGAATGACATGACGTAAAAAAGGCAGTTGCTAATGACGTCAGAATGTTTTGGTGATAAAAACACCACAATAAAAAGGGCGATAATCCAGATAAAATAACGCCAAAAGGTTTAAAAAACCTATCAATTTTGCAACTAATCGGAATTATTAAGTTATGTAATTGCACAAAATATAATACGTATTACCCCACATAAGATATACAAAACAGGTATGCTGAAGAAATCGTACTATGTAAGTGTATTTATAAAGGCATAATATAAGAGCGATAATCCAGATAGGATTAGGTAACTACAGAAAATTTAAAATAAATATTAAATTGGATCATTATCCAATATGTAGTCCGTTACATACTTATAAGAAATGTCAAACTTGGTATGTTGAAGAAACGGAAGTTTCGAAATTACTTTTATCTAAGGTATCTACTATGGGTTTATTTTTTATCAATTATGAAAAAACTATTAATTCCAGTATAGCTACGGAATGTTCTGCAACAAATTACATGTTGCGTCCTTTGGCAATAGTTTTAACTAAAGGTTTTGTTTGACAGATGCTGGAGGATATTATGTTTTTATGGAATTTAGGTATAGAATAAATGTAAGGTAGTGCATCTATTTTGACATTTTCTTTTATATCTTTACTCCTGTTGAAAGTATATTGATTTTGTAAAATATCTAATATGTATCGGGTTATTTGTGAAATTTGTCATTATTGAGAAGATCCTGAATAGCATTTGGGTAATAATTAATATGTTGATTTTTCGCTGACGACAACCAACTCAGACATATGGACACATACAGTAACAATAAACTGTCTATCAAGGTATTAAATCATTGTCTTTGATCATCTCACATCCAGCTAGTTTTTTAAATGTAAATTGTAAATAATTAAATATACAAATAAATTATTATTATATCATAAACCTAACTCCAGACACTGGAATTGGGCAGTTTCAAATATTAATTTTCTATAAAGTTATTAAAGAGTCATGTTGGACGATCTCAGATTCAGCTATAATACATGTTGCTTCCTACCCGACTAAAACCTAAATCGGCAATGAGATAAGAACAGAACACAGTTTTTATGGGATACAATCACTAGTTTTATTCTAAAAGCACGACGTTTCGACAAGTATACTCTTATTGTTTTCAAGCACAATGACATTTAGTAAACTTGAGGTCAATATATACAAAATTCATAGTGAAACCATCAACATGGATTAAAATAACAGCAACAAAAAGAATATAAGAGGTAAAGGATATTTAACAAGCACAACAAGCTAATTAGCCGACTGAATAAACTCTAATACAATTAACTAGTATGAAGCCCTTCAAAGGGGGCTATGAATAAACAGGGTAAAGCTGATTAGACACAGATAGTGAGGCCATATATGCATGGAATTAAATATGACATGGATTTATAAATACAAATATAACAATACACACATCATGGTCAGGTTTGGGATAATCTATAATAGCGAAAACTTAATCAAAAAGGGGGGGGGGGATTT